TTACGAAATATTTCAGACCTCTAGCCTGTAGCCCAAATCCTTGTTCCAAGTACGAAGGACGGACAGATGGACAGACACGAGAGCGGTTGCATAAACCCGTTCTGAAGCTTTTTCAAAGTAGAAGGATGGGCTAAAAAGACGCACCCGCATCCATGCCAGATGTGTGTGCAGCTGCCCAGGTACGTGTGACAGGTGGTGAGGGGGTAAATCGGGCCACGATCCCTGCTTTCCGTTCTAAAACTAAATAAAAACAAAGTATCTTCCTCGTGTGTTTGCGAGCCTGCGCACCGCGTGAGTGCGTGGAAGAGCGGCAAGGGGAGAGGGGAGGGGGTAAGGACCAGGACCTGGACCTACCGCAAGGAAGTCCATGTTGGACGGGGGGCGCAGTCGCGACAGCTGCTCTCTGCATGTCTCAAGGTCGTTCCTCCGTCACGAGTTGGGGGAAGGGGAGGCGGAGAAGAGAGTAAGACTCCAAGAATTAAGCAGCTTGCCGCCCGCCCTCCACTTTTCAAACACGTGGGGTCCGGGGGGCAGAGCAGGGCGCTATTTAAAGCCGGAGGGTGGAGAGGGCTAGTAAAGTAAAGAGAGAGGCATGCGAAGTAGACGGATCTTCCAGGTCCCGTCGAGCACGCCTCCGCCCCCTTCCCTTCCTCGTCCCATCTCCACGGTCGCATGTAATAATGGTGGGTTGTTGGCAGTATTCAGAAATAGCAACCGCGAGTACGTTTTTCGCCTCTGCCCCTTTCCACCTCTGCGGCCTCTTCCAGGCACGCCACGCCCGTGCGCCGCCCGACTCGCTCGCTGCCGCCGTTAAGGCGCTCACGGAAAATATATAATCGTGCGCGCACCCTGGCAAATTACAAGCGAAACAAAGAAATTCTGAATTGAACTTCATGCTCCGGCAAGCAGCTGCATCAAAGTGGACCTGGTGGGTCGGGCTGGGCCGCCGGGCCACCCCCTTCACCCCCATTTCCCCTCTCTCCAATGCCTGCCTCGCGGATAGCATCCTGGCCTCTTTACACTGTAAAACATATTTTGAAATTTAAGAGCAAAATATCTCTTAGATTTAATAACCTGCCATGTCATGTTTCAAACCGTCCCACTTGCTATATGTTTACTGTGTTTCTTTAAAAGTCGAGAAAACTCAGATGACACAAACACTGGTAAAACAATCTAGGTGCTAAGAAGAACGTTTTAAGGACTTGGAAAGGACGTATTATATGCATGCATGATAAGAACAGTACCAAAAAGCCCTGATAAGATGCCAAATTTGGGACCTTTAGGCCTTTAAGCGCATTGTAGAGGCACTAAATCATTTGCATCTTTGAAAGATGCTGATTTTCCCCCCATTTGTGTATGTTAATAAAGCTGGTGAAATTGAAATTCTTCGCAGTTTTCCTAATAATTTGGTTCGGAACGAGTTAAGTCCACCTCATTTACTTAACGGGCCTGATTGATGAACGCTCCAACGAGAATCGAAATTTAATCACAGATCTTCTAGATATAAACCTGCAGGCCCGCGTAAGTCCTTCCGCCCGGCCTGCCGCGCCCGCTGCAGTTTTCCCATGTTTTTTCGCGTTCTGCACTTATTTGCACGAGGCGGCGCTCGCGCGCCTCCGCCACCCGCTCTTCTCTTCTCCATACATTCTTATTATCCGCCTCATTTTATTCGCCGTGTAGTAATGAAACGTAAACATGAGCCGGGCTCTTTCCATAAACATTAAGGGCGGTCCGGCCTGGGTGATTGGCCCAGTGATACCGTATCTGTGATTTACAGTAGGAACACGGGCGGCGCACGCTGCCATCCGATGAGGCCAAAGGCATGGACGTAAATTTAAAGGTAGAAATGTGAGAATAAGCAATGAGCGACGATATGCGGTGCGGGGGCGGCGACACGCCTCCCCGCGCTACCGCTCGGACCGCGCTCACCGTGCATGAGTTTCCTTTCCGTTTATTGTTGCAAATTACCTGGCCGTCTGTCTAGCGAGGGGTTCATGCGCAGAGGTGCTGCCGCCCCAGGGGCTATCCCCAGGCACCTCGGACCGGCCTGTGAGCAAGGTGGGGCACTCCGCACTGGCGGTCCTTCCAGATCAACCCAGAAAATGACTTATTCGATCATCTTACGTCCTCAGGTCACTTGATCAGACATAGCTAATTCTGACAGGAGTTAATTTATCATTAGAAATATAAGATTTTTTGCGATAGGCAATTGACACTAGGGACCATTTGTTCACACTGCGTCAAATCCTCTACCAGAGATTTGTTGTTTTATGTATTACATTAAATTAAATGGTCACAATTATGAGAATCGTTGGTCAGCTTTGCAAATTTTTGTGAACTGATACATGGCTCTTCCACTCACAAGAGAAATAAAATGGTACAAAGTTACAATTTTGAACCAAAACCCCTCCTGAATCGACGGGCGCGGTGCTGTTTTCTGAGCGGGTCGGGCAGGGTTGGCGGCGCCTAGCCCGGTGGGCCCAGCGGGGGGAAGGAGCAGAGCGCACAAACGTCTCCTTTTTATTCGCCCTCTGTTCCGCCACCTCCTTTCCGAACGAGTTTCGCAACTTTTAATTAACGAAATTCTGGAGGAGACGATGCTCTGCGCGCGTTGTGCGGCAGAATTTTTCATAATGAGGTCAGGGAGTTGGCTGCGGGCGCCGAGGGACGCATACCAACCAAGCCCCCCTGTTCTAGCCACTGCTCCGAGCAGCGCCTCCCCTGCCCTTTCCTATCCTGTCCGCGCGACTGCAGGTGCCCGCGGGGAGGCGTAGATACACAGGTGCAGTCGGCGAATGCAAAAATGCAGCCGCTGCAGGCTGCTGACGCTGTGCAAACCGTCATGCACCCACCCCTACCAGCAACTATGGCACAGACAACTTGGAGCCTATGTTTATGTTTAGCAGTCGCAATTTTCAGGCAACTATCATTTAGGTACACAGCAAACATTTTTCCGGGAACTTCCCGGTTGGATTCGGGAAGTACATTTTCCGGTTGCTCCAAATGTTATAACATGCATAGATATGACGAAAAATAGCATCCGGAAAATTACTTCCCGGATTCAACCGGGAACTTCCCCAAAATATATTTGCTGTGTATATTTTAAAAAAAAAGTTCAAAAGGAAGAACTACGATATTGTTTTTATTTGTGGACAACGATAGCGCATCTGCAAGCTAGGACACGGAGAAAAATAATTAGTTCATCCAACTCATACGTAGGTTGATATAGGAATCACTAACGCTGTTGGGTTGTGAGAACGAACTAATTCGTTGTCTCATCCAAGTGTTCGCTAATGCAACGCAAAATTCGTTGGAGCAGCGAACACATCGCTGAGAGAGCGAAGGCGATCGTTGATTCAACTAAAAACGCTTTCGTTCCAGCAATCAGATTTATTCACTTCGTCAACGATCTATTCGCTCTCACAACTAAGAATTCGTTCTACCAGCAAACGCTTGATTAAAACAACGGATATTTTGTTCCCACAACGAATTCTTTTTGCAAGCTCCAAATCAACTCAAACATGGGTTGAAGCAACGAATTATTTTTTTCCGTGGAGTGGAGCTCCGGCAAAGCTCCAA